GGTTGCCTACTTGGGTCCGACAAGGATTCTGCAAAGTGACTTGCTTCATCCCCAAGCGTGCCTTACGAATGTCGTGCGGTGAGAAGTAGTTGGCGGTTGCACCACAATCAACCAACGCACGGATGTAACGGCCATTAATGTAGAGTTTGAAGAAGATAAACTTCGTTCTCCCTTGCGCGCGTTCTTGCTTCATATGAGCCCAGCGCGTCAACAAAGCATGGAAGTCAATTTCTTCCGACTCTACCCAAGGCTCTTTGTATAGGATGTGTATCTTCTCAGCCTTGGAATCAGCATCAGATGGGGTTTCAGGAGAGGTTTGCTGAGTGGTATCAGAATCCAGAGAAGGATCTGTACTTACATGTTCAGCCTCTCCATCTGTAGAGTGTGCTGATGATGTCTCTACCCCCGTTGCTGGTTTCCCTGCTGCAATCTGAAACAATGTTGGACTGAATGTCCCGGTTTAGTGCAATGCAGGCAAACCCCTTTTTTCACCCTGTGTTTCCACTCACTTTCACTGATCCGGAGATCTACCCATGGTTTCGTGGAAGGATCTTCCGGTTTGGGTGGAATTTTCGCTCCCTTGGGAAGAAGAATGATGTTAGTATTGTTCTTCATTGTGGTCCTCGGTCCCTTACTTTTAAAGGCAGTCTTTTTAAAGGCATTTATAGATTCATCGTCGTTCACATACTCAGACTCATGGGCTGACAAAGAGCAAGATGCCCCGCACTCTTGCTCTTGATCGTCATCAAGAGAAGATTCCTCCACCAGGGTCTCCTCGTCAGCCTCAAGCAGATCGTGTGCTGCAAAACGGTTGCTGCCTGGAAACCGTTTGCGGCTGGTGGTATTTTTGCCACTTGATCCACCCGGGAGGTCGTGTGCCTCCAGCTTGACTAAATCCCGCATGAGGGTAAGCCAATCTGTATATGCGCTGAGTCCGAGCCCTAGGCGATCTTTTAGAGTAGAGGGGACCGTACCTTTTATCACATCCAAACAAGACTGCGCAGTCATCTCCAGATCCGAAGTAGCAAAGAGTTTACTAACATACTGCTGCAGGCTATGCATGGTGCCGGTCCACTTGCTGTGCTTGAGCTTGTCAAGCTCAAGTCTAGCTTTGGCTGCAGCATGTGGATCAGCATACTGTTTGATCAAGAGATCCTCGAGCGTGGCGGTAGGCGTAGCCTTCAACCATTTGTTCAGGTCTATTCTTTTATAGCCTGATTGGACAACTTGGGTTTCCAAGAAACCCCTCACGACGAGCTCCACATTAGTCCCTAGGATAGACGACTGGGTTGACGGGGGGGTCCCCAACACATCAAAGTAGGATCGCATGGAGCTGATCCAAGACTCGATGTTGTCCTTTCCGTCATACTTGGACGGAATCTGCGCCGCCTTCCTGTCAATGTAAGCAAAGCTGCCGCTAAGACCAGCCATTGTCTGGTCCGAACTCGGGACTGCAACAGTTCCAGAATTCCCTGCACTTTCACTTGCCGCTGCAGCAGCAGCAGCAGCAGCGGGGTCTGGACCTGCTGCAGATCCGGATTGGCTGTTAGCCACACTCAAAGACGAAGAAGAAGTAGAAGAAGACACATCTAGAGGGGCAAAAACAGACTGACACGCAGCACTAGAAGCAGGATAGGTAGACAGAAGTATGCTTTGGTCTGGCTGCACATTAGCAAACTGTTGCATCTGGTCACGGTGCTGCTGCGCCATCAGGGCCATGTCCTCGCGCAACTTCTTAAGTTCGTCGAACACTTTCGCGAGTTGGCCAGTGTGGTCCTCAACAGTCCAGACGTCCACCAAAGCCCGGAGGAGTGGAACGGTTTTCTCTTCCACCTCCGCATCGGTCAGGGCAGGCACGGTACAAAAAATGGCTTCATGAGCCTTTACCTTTTCCTCCCTCTCCTTTTCTTTCTCTTCCTCCTCCCTCTTCAATGCTTTCTCATAGAAGAATCGGTACTTCGCTTTCTCTGCCGCACGGGCAGCGTCCATTTGCAGCTTCCAATCTGCTGCAGATGCCATGATGGAGGACGAGGGAGTCAATAAGTCTCTCAAGAGGGGTCCGTACTTCCTTACTTGTCTGGGACGAACACTCCTCTTCCCTCTCCTCACTCCCTCAAGAGCAACACTCAGAAGCTTCTCCCTTCTCTGTCTCTCTCTCGTTTGCGACCGTGTAGACGCAGGCATTAATGAACCCAATGTAAGAAACAGCTTGAAATCAGTCAGAAGAGAAGGTAGAACTCCTAGCCGGAGCGGCAATTCATTTGGACTCGAGAGCAGTCATCAAAACAAAAAAAAGATCAAAGAGATCTGATCCAGCCACACAGTCTGGACTGACTACGTATGGGGTCCTCCCAAGCCTAGCCGACCTCAGCTCCGTGAAAACACAGCAAATCAGATTCAAGATGTACAGCGAAATGCAAGAGAGAATTGAGTGGTGTCCAAGGTGCGAGTCAGGAGGCGGATCGTGCGGTAAAGTCTGATAAAACGTCTCAGCGGAGATCCCCTCCGCAACGAGTGTCCTGGTCCGAAAGCATAAAGTCCGAGTCCCAATCAGATAGAGCAAAGTAACTGACGTCAACAGATTTGGCCTGAGGGGCCCTTCTTGTTTGGGCCCGGTCCCACTGAGTCCCAAACGGTCCCAGTGGAGTCAGAACCGGGTCCCAACCAACAAGAGTTCCACAAAGACCTACTCTGTCCCTACCAAATTGAAAAACGAAATTTTGCCCCAGAAAGAACCTGTAGACTACGGCCGTTCATAATGAAATAAACAAAGCATTGTAGAGAGATATCACATGGCAAACAAGATACTCCATTCATTCACTCGTCAGGAGGTAGGCAGTTCACACACCTCACACACAATCAAGACTATGGAGGATGGAAGAAGAACCCAGAGAACCCCAACAGGCAGTCAATTCCATGCACACACACATGGGCATCCCGGTGGCACGGCACTTACCTGAGTGGTCGGGCTCTTGAGATGAAAAAGAACTCACCCCCCTCTCACATAGTCCTCCTGACCCAATTAGCATCCTCTACACTAGTGTCCTATCATCTAGGAGGGTCAACATCTACCCCAGAGTACAAAGTCGGATCCCCCGTCAATGTTGAAGACCAAAGCAGCAACTTGTAGTCCGTAGGTGCAGATATGGCTGCCACCCTCAAGCTCGCCTGACTTGAGGGGAGCCCTAAAGTCACTCCTTGTCTTCCTTGAAGTCCAGATTCAAGTTGTAGGTGCCCTTCACTGTTGCCTCTCTCACATTGCATCACGAAGTCCCACCTTGTGTCTCGCCACCACAAACATGCACTCAAACAACCTGGTCGGGTCTAGTGTCGACCCTACACGGCCCTGCCAGGTGGGAGCAGCTTCCCTTCACCACGCTGCCCCACTTAACCCTAACTTCCAGCCCTAACCCTAAGTGGTTAGCCCTTACCACTAGGGTTAGGGTTATGGCAGCAAAGTCAACTCTTGCCAGCAAGTAGAATCCGCTCCGATACCAATGTTACGATCCTTTCGAAGTATACATTCATCTGAAAGTACAATGCCATCCAATTGCAAAAAGAAGTGAATGAGCTTGAGAGGAAAGAGAGGGAAAGAAGAATAAGAAGCAGTGAGAAAGAAGAAGATGATGATGTACTCCAGCATAGACCAATGTCAAGGCTCTTCTTCTTCGCCAACCAATCCCTTCCTCCTTGTCTCCTCCCTCTTATTCAAACAAGAAATAACAATAATAATGTTGAATGACTGAACCAGAATCAATGTCCGAATCCCACTTCTACTGCAGGCACAACATGAGGTCCACCATAGCCATGGCCACCCTTCTTCTTCCTCTACATACAGGCCGAGGCTATGGCGGACTACTGAGGCTTCAGCCTCCCGTCCAAAGGACAACCCAAAGCAGTTATGTCGCTGCCCCACTTCAAGGTCATCACCATGCAGCTATGCCGCTGCTCACTCAGCCACCATGCCTGACTCTGTCCCGAGCTTCGTTGATGCGGCACTACCCCCACTGGGGCCTTCCTGATTCAGCGCCTAGCAAGGAGATGAAGATGGTGTCTACCATAGCCAGTAAGTGCCTCGCCACTCTCCTCCTTGGTCCCCTTCTCCCTCCTCCTACCGGTAGAGCTCCACCATAGCCAGGGTGGAAGCTCCCGGCTTCTTCCTCCCAGCAGTGCTGTGGTACTCAGCGCTAGTCTCTTATACACATCTAGATGTGTATAAGAGACAGCTACTTGCCTCCTGGGCGGTGACTTCCAGGCCGCTCGGCCTCTCCAAGCAACCGGTACTTCCTCCGTTTCGGAGGGAAACATCATTGCAGACCCTGATATTACCCGTACAGGCTCTAGACTCAGACTGGTTGGACTGGTACCGGCCTAGACCTACCCTACCGCTACTGGACTCTAAAAATGCCAACTTTGTCTTTTTCTGCTCGGCCTCCAGTACCCCCTCACGCCAACTGCAGTGGGGTGCAGTATCGGCCTACCGGCCTATTTGAGTGTTTTTCCATTACCCCAAGGGCCGCGGCGCCGCTAGCTTCGCCACTTGAGTGTTTTTCCCTGCAACAACCCTCAATGCCACGGCCACAGGTAAGTACCGGCCCTACGGGCCTGCCAAACAAGCAAGTACCCTTGCGGGTCACACACACACTCATACCGACAAGCACTCAGACAGGCACGCAGGTCACAAGCACGCACACACAGACAGACTTAGAAAACACAGCAGAATGCGGGAATCTCAGCAAGGCATCCATTCCATCGGCAGAACTTCAGAAATCAGCAGTGTTCTCAGTCTGTGTTTTGACGGGTCATTACAGGAATATAAGGCGGCGTATCTTTCCATGTTTTAGATCAAATTTCGTTCTCATTCTCCTCGAGGATACGTGCCCGTTGAAGCACAAAACGAACGGATCGTGAAACCTCCAAATCTACTGAAAACAAAAAATAATGAATCAGTGAATCTACACACCACTGCAGTATGTACTTGTATTCGAACATGTGCCAACAGGCCATGCCACACGGATTTGCTGTGTCATTTCCTTGGGCCCGCCCCCCTGTCCCAACCACTTTCCCAAGACTGGCAGTCGGGCCTCACGGGGGCGTTACGCGACACCCACGTAAAGGAAAAAAAAAAGGATTGCCTTCGTATTCCCTACCAACTCATACAGCTCGATCGACAAGAAATACCCCCCCTATGAAGCCGCACTCCTTAATTACTCTTTAAATCAAGGACATATGAGATACAGCGCAGAATTACTTTTCTTTAAATGCACCACATGCGCACACGCACCACATGCCGCATACCGCACCGCACGGCGCACGGCGCATGGCACACGCACACTCGCCCCGGAGAAGTGCACCGCAGAAGTGCACCGCCCGGCGCACCGCAGAAGTGCACCGCCCGGCGCACCGCAGAAGTGCGCCGCATTGAAAATGAAAAAGGTTTCAATGGTACAATGTTCAGAGACCCAACATCTGAACGGTGAGTAGGGTCACATTTTTATCTCCTACCCGGCCTACCGCCTCATCCAGCCCCGATTGACAAAAGATACACTGTCTGAAACTAATCTCCTTAAGTAGTTTTCCAGCCCCCCAGTCCCCCAAAGAAAAACACCTGGAAACAACGTGTTCATGCCTGCTTCCGGATGTTCGGATCATGCACAGGACAGCCCCGCCTTCCGTTTGTTCAGAAACTCAGCCAATGGGCCTCTGCCGACCAGTCGGCTGCAAATTGGTTGGCCATCGGCATCGGCCATTGGCTGATATGCTATCCTGATTTTCACTGATATACTGGTGGTTAATTGAATCGAGGTGTCCCACTCAAGCCAGGTGATCACACTGGTTTGGCTCTATCTGCTTACCTCTCCGTGTTCATGGGGGGTCTTACCCAATATCTGACCTGCAAGGTTAGATGTTTGTGCTGTCTGCGAAGCCAGGAATAACACAGAGGTCCTTTCCTGTGAAAATGTTCAGAAGATGGGAAACGACAAAGCCTTACTTGCCACAGCCGTTGCTATGGTGAGCCTTCTCCCAGCATGCAATCAACTTCATTAGCAGAGGAGGCAGAGAAGGAGGAGGAGGAGGAGGAGGAGGAAGAGGGAAGAGGGAAGAGGGAAGAGGGAAGAGGGAAAGTGGAGGAAGAGAAGGAAAAACTGTTAGGGAATTGTACAAGAAGGGGTGGAGTTATTGGACGGACCATCGAACTAGTCTGGTGAAGCAGTTGTATAAACAGACGTTACAGCAGTTGTGGTGCTGAGTGTTGTTACGGACTGTCTGCTTTTCTAGTTCATAGATATGTGAAAATATATGTAAGCTATCGTCAAACAGAACTGCCCGGTAAACAGTCGGCCGAGAGGGAGAAGAGGACAACAAACGAGGGGCTGCGACAAACTGTTTCGTTGGAGTTTCACCGACTCATCAGGAGGCTGAACCCTCAGCAGTCTGCAGAATCCCCTAACTGATTACACTGTAAGTGATAATCCACCTTAACCCCGGTTGTGGCTAAGCACCAACGACTGCCCGACAACTGATACCCCTGAGGTGGGCACCAACCACTGCCCTCAAGGTACCAGTGACGAAAATCAAAGCAGACTATCACTCACCCACACCAGATGGAAAACTCTACATATATATCGATGTATATGTTGTATTGAGAATGCTCAGTTAGGTCTTCCATGTGTTCATCCACCTCATCCTTACAACGTATGTCCTCTCTGTCTTCAACGTATGTCCTCTCTGTCTTCAAGGACAGACTTGTTCTTGAGCCTTTTCTTATCCTCTCCTTTGCCTTCATCTTCATCCCACACTCCTTACTTTCCCGTACTTTGCCTCTGTTGTCTTCCTTTTGCTTTGTCTTCTCTCCATCTCTTTTCTCTGTGGTTATCCCCTCCCCCTTTACTCTGCTTCTTTCTCACAGTGTACAAGTGGACCGTTATGGCACACGGGTGCGGGCAGCTCGCGCTCAACTGCATCAATGTGGTGAGCCTTGTTGTGACCGGCACGGTGAAGGGGGAGTTAAAAGAACAATGAGAAAAATGAATGGTTTCAGCGTGCTCTTCATGTTTGTCTTGTGGATTTTTGTTCCGCAAATTGCGCTCTTTTAATTCATAGATATGTGACAACATATAGGGGTGAGAGCGAATCAGATCGCTCACAATGTGCTATTCAGTTCTTGCCCCACACACTAGAAGTCGAAACTGCTCACAATGGAACAAAGTAGACCAATCTGGTTTTACCCAACATCATGCCAACTTTGGAATGACAAGCCACTTGAAAGAGCAAGGGAGGAGATGAAGAGGCAGGGGGAAGAGAGGGGGGGCCGGATGGGGGTCAAACACATAGGAACATCAAGAAATTACCTTGGCATACTTGTCTTCTTCCTGCATAAATTTCTTTGCTCTGCTAGGAACGTACTTCCACAGTGGCGTCCCGCCAACCCAGGAGGTCTCATGGGATATGGGCGCATTCCTGCACCCATGCCCAGTGCCATTCTTAATACACATCAACTTCTCCTTGTGGATCCGCCTACAGTGCTCCAGCCATCTAGCCAAGATGAAAGCAAGATTTGCAGCAGCCGCTGATTTTAGCGTTTGCAAGTTTGCATAGATTATTGAACTTTTACAATTTGTGATATTGGAGATGGAAATGTTATGAATCTTATGATGCTTGTCCAGGCATTGATGGACTCTCAAGTGGAAAGATCCTACATGAACTGCATTGCAATGTAGAAGAGAAACAATGCGATGGAGGAGGAGGAGGAGGAGGAGGAGGAAGAACAACAACAAGGAGTAGGCGGAGGAGGAGAAAGAAAGCTCAAGTGGACAGTTCATACATGAATTCATTGCAATGTGGGAGAGAGAGAAAATTCATTGAGGACAAAGACGATGAAGAAGATGAAGAAAACGACACTCGGGAGGAGGAAGAAGAAGAAGAGGAGGAGGAGGAGGAGGAGGAAGAGGAGGAAGAGGAGGAAGAGGAGGAAGAGGAGGAAGTGGAGGAGAGGGATTACAAGGATTCGAGCAAGAGCATGCACTAATCTTCCCCTTCCATTCTCAGCACGCCTCCTCACAATCACTCTAATATTTGCAGAGCTTAAACAGAAGTGGACAAAATAGGCTGGGAATCTTCCTAGCAGCTACAAACAAGACTTCTCTCCATACTCACACCCTTGCCTGTCTTCAACAGAATAGCACCATCTTCTCTCATGACCAATTAATATGGCGTTTGATCTCAGCATAGATGTTTAGAGCACAACACAAGAAGTCTTCTCACCCTCCGCCTCCAAGCTTTTCTCTCAGATATTCCATCAAACTAGGCAGAGGTTGTCCTTCCTCTAGCAGGCCTCCACAGCCTTAACCCCCCCCGGTACTGCACGCTGTTCCGATTGACTGCCCAGATCCCATAGAAGAGCACATGAAAGATTTTCTGTAGTTCAAAAGATTTGTCTGTCGTTCAAATGAATAACGCATATTGTTCAGAAGATCGTCTATTGTTCAAATGAATTGCGCATAATGGGAGGAAGCTTTGAGCAACGGACTGCAACTCTCAAAAGGGTAAACAACGGCAATGCAGCAAAAGGAGGAATTAAAAAGATGAAATGAAAAGAACACTACTAGTTTTGACTGATGTTTTTGCAGTTTTGAAACACGAAATTCGTCACAAACAGCTTCGCAAAGCCAAGCCTCTAGCGAGGCTACCAGGACGAAAACCAAACAATTGCGCACCCAAAAGTCAAGGAGCACGTGAACGCCTGCAACATCAACAAGTAGATATTTACAGTGGCTGCCATAGCACGCACAAGTACAGTGAGATGATTCCAACCCTCACCTTTCATGGCAAAGCCTGTTGTCTACAGGCTCAGCCTTCCTGCCGCGATCCGCCATCTCAATGCAGCTCCCAAGGGAAGCTTTCCCAGCGGCTGCACAGACTTTTAACTAAGTTCTCCAGGGACTCACTGCCAACCACAACCACACAGTCCATCCATCAGAAGACAGTCTACCTCACACAAGTGACATCGGTCATGAAGACCTCATTCCTTCGAAAAGACAAACTTTCCAAGACAATGCACACTGGTCACAAATACCCCATGCGTACAGTGGCTTCTGAATTCCTACTGAGAAATGGGAAAAGGGGGTAGAGATCCAGCGGTGCTAGGATGAAGGCCGGCGGATGACGTTATAGAATGATGCACCCTCTGTTTTTTCTTCAATTGGGACCATTTCTCGATGTATTTATCGGATGTATGCATGTCCTCCTTGCGAAGGGGGCATGGTAATTTTTTCTTTATCGTTCCAATTTTAACCAATGTCCTGAAGGATGATGCACCCACTGTTTAAATCTTCACTTGCGCTCAAATGAAGGCCCCTGGCAGAAATTGCACAATACGTGCATAGAGCTTCTGGGAATAAGGGAAGGCGGAGAGGGGGGGGGGTTGCGTACTACTGCTCAACCACCTTCGCTCCCAACCCCTCCTCATCTGCTACTTCAACTGAATATAGTCAAGGGAGCAGCATGCATTCAAAAAACACCCCTGGTCAGTGACTGCCATGCCGTAACATTGTGACATCAGAGCCGCCCTTGCATGACCATTCGGCTACATCAAAACCACCACCGCACTATGTGCTTGAGCAGTTCTTCTCAGACAGCGAAGTAAAACAGGATAAGCTCCATGTGACACAAGCTGGAATGAATGGTATCAGAACCGTCCTTGCATGACCGTTGGGCTACATCAAACTATGTGCTTGAGCAGTTCTGCTGATACGTGCTTGGTTGGGCAATGTACATGGAGCCAAGGATCCACAATGTGATGAAAAGGACTGAATGGACAATGCAATGTCAGTGAAACATCAACAAGCAATGTACATCCTCATACATACAAAATGGCACAAAGTAGCGCAGTGGAAGGCTCAAAGATAAGTCCTGGCCTGACCGCTGTCGGAGCAGAAACCCTCACAAGGGTATCTGCTCGGGTTTTTCAATGTCGGACGCTGTCCGACTTTTTCATTAAACTAAGGAACCTGATGAGATTGATGTCTGCCAGAAGTTTATTCAGACTAGCCTATGACCTAGAGACGAGAACTTTTATGAACTAGATGCTTGTGACGTCCGGGAATAATGGCGGTAATCGGTGGTGTGACCAGTCGTATGTGGTTTCTAGAAGGGCCGCTAAGGCACACGGTCACGGCTAAGACCCATCCTACCTAAAATAATGCGATGGGCTTAGCAGGGCCAAAAAGGGTGACCGCGTTATGTCACGGCGCAAAAGTCGAGATTCAGACCTACTACTTTTAAGGGTTGCCTTGCCGGGATTCGAACCAACAGCGGTATGCCGAGGGGGGGCATGCGTCCTACCCTACGGGGATAGGCGCACGTTTGTCTCAGGCAGTCGGCAGGGGCAGGCAAAGGCCTGATGGCTGTGTGCCAGCTATTCCCACTGAGCATAGCCCTTCATATCGAAGGGCTGCTCCTATTTGGTGTGAAATAGGAACTAGCCCAGTAGGATCACATGCCAGGATCTCACCCGACGGATACCGGGATCGAACCCGACGATGCCCTACTGGGCTAGCTCCTTTTGGAGCTGCCCATCAAGGTGGGCATGAGGCACGGCAAATTTCGGCTGTGAGATCGCCAGATCTCACGACCAGAAATGGCCGCGCGGCTACTGCATGGCCCCTGCGCAAGGATGACACGCATAAATCGAGAAATGGTCCATAATTTTTCGATTCCCTAAGGGGAATCAACACGGGTCTATATGCTGAAAAGAGACGTCAGCAAGGCGTGGCGCAAGCCGTTGTGGCCGTTGGCTTATACCAACGACATCATTACTTAAAAAAAAAAAAAAAAAAAAGGGAATCTAGCTAAGTCGGGGCGCCAGCTGGCGCTTAGAGAAGAGACAAGGGACTTAGTGTCCCCAGACAGTACAGCAGACGCCCGTTAAAAAGGGGCAGCCATTTTATTTCAGGTAAGATGGTTTTTTCCTTTTTTTTTTGTTGTTTGTTTTTAGATTTTCTTCTTAGATTCGTTAGATTTTTTTTTTTTTTTTTTCAGATTCCCTCTTCTTCTGTTTTCGTTTCACAAGCTCCTGAAAGTGCCCGCTCGTTGAAAACGAACGGGCGAAGCTTCCAACTGCTACTTCCCTCAAAAGGCAGAGCAAAATCGAACGAATCTACCCTAGATTGCGGAGAGATACACTACCTACATGTGTGTGTGTGTGTGTGTGTGTGTGTGTGTGTGTGTGTGAGAGAGAGAGAGAGAGAGAGAGAGAGAGAGACCAACCATGCCGTTGGCCCCATGGTACTTCCAACGATAGGGTGGGCAAAATTGAATGAATCTGCCCCTGGGACAAGGGGAGATCCACCGCCACGGCCTCCTCTACTGAAGGTAGGAAAGGTAAGGTTGTTTTTCTTTTCGTTTTTGTTTTTAGTTTTAATTTTTAGTTTTGTTGTTTCCACTTTCCTCACGTGGCCGATGAGGCCGAGGAAAACAGGAAAACAAAACGAGGGGGGAGACTGTAACGGGTGAAGGACCTACCTCATGGTTGAAAAATAGTCTTTTTAGGCCTGTGTTACCATATTGCCTCCCCGTTGTCAGGGGGAAAGAAGAAAAAGAAAAGAAAAGAAAAGAAAAGAAAAGAAAAAAAAGAAAAGAAAAAGGAAACGAGAAAACGGGAACAAATTTTATGAAAATCTGTAAATTTTTGGTTTGCGCCAATATTTTTTTGGTGGCGTAAACCAATTTTGTCGGTCTTGAAATTTTTTCTGTAGGTAGCCAGGCACCTAGGCCATGCAGGTGAATTTTTTCAGATTTTTTTATTGGGCTAATATTTTTCTAAAAATCATCAAAGGTGAGGTACTTTTTGCACTCCGCTCTGAGCCTGTCTCGTGAATTCTCACGAGTTGTTTCCCTACCTCTCCCAACCTGACAACTACCCTCCCCATTTTCAGGGGAGGGCGGAAGAAATGCAAAGGGGAGGAAAGCAGCAGCCACAGCCACGAACGTGGCCATGACCGTGCACCAAGTTCAAGCAGTATTGGCCTGAATGCAATCATTCAGGCCAGAGCTGTGAACTGGAGGGTCAGTGAGGGGAACTTGGCTGGAAACCGCCATTTTCCCGCTGAACCTGCACTCAACGTGGGGTTGAGTGTAGGGAAAAGGGAGAAAAAGAGGGGGGCAGTTGAGTACAACTGCCACCCTAAGTGTATGGCTGAGGTGAGACAGTCTCAGTCCGTTGATCTGGCTCAGATCAATGGCCCCAGGCAAGTGACGAATTTTGCCTGAGGCAGTTGAGGCTGCTGCTGCCCTCCTCAGCCACTACAAAAGAGGCAGCTGTCCCCCAGCTGCCTCACACTTGCCTCCAGCTGCCAGTGTGTGACAACACACTTGCCTCATTGCTGGAGTGTTGGAGAGGAGGCAGGAGTGCTGCCGACGGAGCTGGAGGACAGCAAAGGAGCGTGGCGAGGGAGGAGACAACCATAGCCTTGGCTGGAGCACTCTGCTCCACCCCATGGCAGGCTGGTCTCTAGGGGGACTCTGCGCCAGCGTGGTGAGGAGAGGCAGCGCAGCGTGACAAGGAGTGACGGGCAGCACGGCAACTGGTAGAGGTATGCCGGCCGATATTTTCGGCAACCATAACCCATTTTTGTGGGATTATGCTGCCGAAATACTGCGGCATCAGCATGACACCTTTATTTTGAAGGGTGACGCTGCCATCGGCGACACTTTTTAGGGGTGATGCTGCCGTTTCACGGCACATCGGCGCGGCACTTTGTTTTGAAGAGTGATGCTGCCGTCTTTTTTACGGTAGTACGGCGCGGCGAAACGCTGCCATTTTTTTTATGGTGGTACGGCACGGCGAAGCGCTGCCGTTTTTTTCGGTGGTACGGCACGGCGAAGCGCTGCCGTTTTTTTTCATTGGTACGGCACGACGAAGCGCTGCCGTTTTTTTTACGGTGGTACAGCACGGCGAAGCGCTACCGTTTTTTTTTACGGGATACGGCGCGACGACGCGCTGCCATTTTTCGACGAGGGTTCGGCACGACAATGGAATTGCGGCAATACGGTGGAACGTGCGGCGCGGCAGTGGAGGTTTCTTTTACGGCACGAAAAGGTTTTTGTTGCGGCGCGGCGTCTGCTTTTCTTGATGAAGGTGTGCTACCATTGGTGTGTACGACAGCAGCAGCGTGACATGGTGGTGGGTGATGGCATGCGCGGTACGAAATCTGAGCGCGACGGGCGGGTTTATTTTTTTATGCGGCATATAAGATAAATGTTTTGTAGGTGGGACTACCCAACACTTGCGGCAGTGGGACTGGACTACTTGGGACTGCCTGGGTTCACTTGGGACTGACGTGGGACGAGGGCGGTCATTTGCAGCAGTCTCGATGCATGCACTTTTGAGATTCGGCACCGTTTTTTTTTTTTTTTTTTTTTTTGAGAAGTGTGGCGGAAACGGTTTTCGACTCCATAGTCATTCGACGAAGTGTTTAACAACATGGGACCACCTGGAACTGCATGGGACCATTTGGGACTGCTTGGGACCAGTTGGGACTGACGTGGTACCAGACTGAGTGTTTTTTTCTGGGACGCATGCGGCTCGCCGTCTTCATGCTTGGGCTACCACGGGTGAGGCGTGCGAGTGAGAGGTGGTTTGATCAGGATTTTCCTTGAGACTACAGCTTTCGGCGGCACACACGGCTTGTTGGTTGGCTTTCTTGAGTGAGCCAGGGCACTTCTTCAGCACCACTTCACTCAAGGTCAGTGGACGACTCAGACTCCCTTCACACTTGTGTACACATTGCTTGACCCTTTTGCTTTGAATGTTCAGGAGAAAAGGTTGAGCGGGGTTGTGGGCGTCATGCATGAGTAAAATGGTGGGTCTCACGTGAGTAGTGGGACTTTGCTTGTCTTCTTTTGATTGTGTTGT